TTTGTGACTTCTGCAGAAAGAAGCTCTGAAAGAACCAAACATCCTCTACACTGGGAAAAAATAATAAAAAAGAAATAATAAATCATGATTACCGGTCTGCTAAATTAAGTTGCGTTGTTTTAAATGCTGCCGCATATTAAATTACTGCATAAAGCCTGAAATCTCAGTACTGAGTTTCATAATGTCAGCAGAAAGACAGAGGAGGGTTCTGGCGACTTTAGAGTCTGCATTCTGAGTGCATCTGCAGCTTCCTGCTTATTTCAATTTCTTGCAGTATTAGGAGCAGGAAAGTTAAGTTTCTTCTATTTTTTTACTCAGTTGTGGTTTTGTGTTTCTTTTAAACTTTTAAAAACCCATGGCAATATTTTTGTATTATTACTTTGGGGATGTAGAGCCAATCTAATGTTGTTTATTGTCTAAAATAACATAACAAAATAAAATCAACAATCCCTTACACCGTGTCAGGGAGGAAATCATTCAAACAATACATCCCCACACCTGAACTCTGGTCATATTAAAGCTCTGAGTTTGGTGGTCAACCCAGTTCTTTAAGGTAATATTGAAAAATTAGATGACATAGCTTAAAAGTAGCCTCGTGAGACCATCCTGATCTCGCGCGTTTTCAAGATTTCACTCGCAGATCAGTCTGGAGACTCTCCGTTAAAGAAAATTTGGAGCCGTTCACCAAACGAACGTCCAATCAGCGTTGGCTTTGAGGCGGGTTGAGGTGTGACGCAACGAGAAGCGCGACAGTTCAGTCTAAAGAACATGGAGGCTTCAGCCGATGAAACTAGCGTTAGCGTGGCTATCGAGCAAGTTTTATCGGAATTACAGAGTATTTCTTCACTGAAAGAAGAGCAAAACACTGCTCTGGAGGCTTTTCTCAGAGGAAAAGGTGTTTTTGCTCTTCTCCCGACTGGTTTCGGCAAGAGTTTGATCTATCAACTGGCTCCTCTTCGTCGTCGCTCTGTTAGTACGTCATATGCTTCGTTGATCTGATTGGTTTATTTGGCCCGTCTATCACCAACATAGGCCAATCAGCTAACCAGTATTTTCCCCCCTTCCCAAAATTACTTCAAGGGAAGGTTTCCAGATGGATATGCGGAGCAAAGGTGTTGCCAGATCCTAGTATCTCCAAGGTAGAGCTGAGAAGTGATTTTTTCCTGGCATTTATTAGATTTAACACAGTAATAAACAAAAACATAAAAGAAACAAAATGAAAGAGAACTTCAGCCGCTCTGCCAACTTATGGAACGGCTGTAAAAAGTTGCTGTTTTTCTTCTGAACAAATAAATTAAATGTTTGGTCATAAAACCTTTGCATTAGCATCAGACAACCTGCCAACCAAACTAGAGGTCAGAGTCATTCCAAGAAGTTAAAAACAATCCACTGGACTTTTTTCCAAGTTTGAAGACGCTTCTCTTCCCATCCTGGAAGCTTTTTTAATTCATAATGTCAGAAATAGCGTTGAGTTCAAGGCTTTATAGAGCGAACCAAAAACAAAGCCTTGTTTTTGTTTAGAAAACATGCAAATTGAACCTGATGAGTGGGTCTACCCTTTGGAATCAGGGTTTTTTTGTTTCTTTGTTAGCCTTTTTTTTTGTTTCTGAAAGGGGGCTTATTAGAGGAAATTGCTGGCCTGGCTCTAAAGCCTTGATCTCAAAGCTATTTCTGAAATTTTGAATTGAAAAAGCTTCCTGGATGGGAAGAGAAACATCTTCAAAAATGGAAAGAAAGTCCAGTGGATTGTTTTTAACTTTTAAGGAATGGCGCTATTACCTTCAATTGGCTTAAAAATCTGTTATGAATACCAGCCATAAAAAATTAAATAACCAAAAACATTTACTACATTTTGATCCCTCATAAAACAATTTAACTTTGAGGGAGGCTGTGAAAAAAACAACTAAAATTCTTCTGACCCACCAAGACATCACCCAGCTGATCCGTAGCCAAGCTGCCATGGATTCTTTAGAGAGAAATTAAAAACTGTGAGATGCCATGACTCTAAAATGCGTTTTTGTGAGATGGATTGTGTTTGCAGCTTCCAGTCACAGAGCGGCAGCTGCATATTAATACAGACACGTCTGCGGTGTTCAAACAGATGCTGCAGTGTTTGCAGTCACACCTAATCAGATGAAGCTTAACGGTGAGGCTTACACAGGTGTGTTAAGAGTTAACGCATTTGTTTTATTTAACTACGGTATTTACAGTTATTATAAACACAACTATTTTTATATCTTCATTCTTATGAGGAAACAAAGACGCTACATCAATAAGGTCTCTAATAAACAGAGGTCACCACTTCAGAGCATCTTCTCAATGTGCAGCTTAATAATCTTAATCCTGATCCTCTGTTCATTTTCCCACGTGTTTTAATCTATATTTGCTTTCAAAAATAGCATTTCGTTACGTAAAGAGTACCGATCCAAATGTCATGAATACATGAATTATCACTGATCATGGGAAAACTTTGGAGGCTGTAATTAATGCTACTCTATCATCTGAAAATGTTACTTAATCTCAGGCTATACATCTGTATGTAGATAATCTGTCTGCATGTATGGAGCTTCGTCACACCCGGCAGTGTCACTACCCTATTCGCCCTGGAAGCACGATCCGACCTCGATTTTATTTTGTTAAAAAGACCTAAATGAAGTTTTTCCCTCCCCAAAAATAGTAAGCATATTAAAATATAATGTGTTAAAGGTTAATAATGTATTTCCTGAGAAAAAAAAAGCCTTAAAATCCTTCCTGTTTTATCCCTCTGTTCCCAATCTGCACCGGAAATAGGATCCTACGCTACTTCCTGGAGCTAACTTTCTCAGCTTTGGATTTAAACATAAATCTAGTCTCTTTGAGATTTATGCTTTCGTTTCGAGTTAAACTTATGGTAAATGGTGCATAATCTAAAGAAAGAAACGACTAAATGCTCTGAGCATGACCCATGATGACGTCAGAGAACCAGTTTAATGGAGGAAATATAAAAAGCATCAAAAGTGTCTCAGAAATGTCATAAAACATTTTTTAAAGATGTGTTTTAGCATTCTTTAGAGAGTTAAGGATAGAAATAAGTAATTTTAGTACCATAATTACATTATTTACGGACAGCAGGATGTTTATCTGTTTGCACATGTGGGACAGATCCTGCTTCCAGGGGGGAAGGACAGGTGGCACCCAAAGAAAATATGAGTCTGTTCTAAGAATAACACAACTCACCACTACGCTGCATTAATCTGTAGATTTTTATAATCACACCTTCATTTATATACAGTAGTTGCCAACTTTCCTTGATGGGTCCTTGGCTGGTCCCCTACAATTCCTTTTTAAACATCAATCTTTGTACTAAAATATTCTTTCTGTGATGATTTGTGGACTTTAAGATCTAAAGAGACGCGTCATCTTCTGGTCAGACCCAGTAACTTAGTGAAAGGGTGGAGTCAGAGTAACAAAATGCAAGAGGCTGGAAGATGGAGGGGATTTTTCTGGGAGTTGCAGGGAAGTGGGCTGCTATTCAGCTGGCGTTTAAAAAGGAAGGGACATTTTGAATGGCTGCTACTGTAGATTAGAAAACAACAATAATTAGAACAAATTGTAAATATAAATAATATGTTTGTTATACATGAACATTTTTATGAACTCTGTCTCGTTTAGTTCATCAGTAGATAAAACAAAAAGAGTGACGAACTTAGACCAGGACCACATGTCCTCCGATTGTAGCCGTGCTTTAAGGATTATAACGTTACTGTTTCTACGAGCAACGCTGTAGACAAAAAGCTAAAGATCCTAAAAAACACATTTATCTTCAAATCTGTAACATGAGACAGCCTTCACTGTAACTGATTCATTTTCCTCATTTTTATTCATTTATAGACGTTGGTATCAAAAAGCAGTTTGCACAACAAGTGTTTTTCCACTTTGGTTATTTGTATTAATAACCAAGGCGAATGCATGCTCTCCCTTTAATACATGCTCCCCTTCAGGCGTGCATGATTACAGCCAGACTTTTTGAACTAATTAAGCCCAAGGTTACCGTCTCTGACGAGCAGCTCCCACCAGAGTCTTGTTAGACAGCTTTAAAAGTGGGCCACAAACTGGGAGTTTTTCCTCTATGATTCACTACATTTTAACAGAAGGACTCAATCATGAATAGATATGCAGAGATCTGAGGGAACCCTGTGTTCTTCCATTCATGCCACATTTCATTCAGACTCCTCAGCAGAGCCTCCAGTACACCGATGCATCAACCTTGCTTCGATATTTATGCTATTTTTCCGTCTGTACACCCAACATCACACATTTAACATTTTCAGGGGTTTTTTTTGTATCTTGTGTGTCAACACAACAACAAATAAAGGAACATTTTAAAATAAAAAGGTAAAAAAAATACCAAGTTTCAAACCTGGTCTCTGGAAAGTAGGGTGTGCATTAACATTGCCTTCCCTGAGTCAATCCTTTTGAGAATCATCTATTGCTGCAATTACAGCAGAATGCCTCTACCAGCTTTCCACATCTATAGCCTAAAGTTTTTTGTTTTTTTTTGCCAATTATCTGTGCAAAATAACTCAAGCTCAATCAGTTTAGATGTAGAGAATGGAGAGAAAATGTTTTCATTTTGCTCAGAATGGATTTGAATCAATACCTAAAGCTAAACCAGCAGCCTTGTGGAACACCATCAGCACTGATAAGCAACCCATCAACCAGTGGAAGTTATTCTAACCACAGAGAGCCAATGGGAGCTGACTGGTGGCATAATCTGACGCTCCATCTGTGATTAGAAGATCTGTTTTATGTAATAATACGAAGGGGAAAGGCCCAATTTCTATTTCAAATGTTTAAGGCTAATAAAATTAACTCTCACTTCTGCTCTTTAAACATTTTTAATAATTTTCCTTCAGAAAAAAATGAAAGCTGAGCTTTAAATACAAATCTAGTAGCTGTTTGAGAGTTTTTTTTTGCGCCCTGGTTTTTACGTGGTGATCTGTTAACAGAATGTCAGACAGTTCATGGCCCGCTGTTTACTGTCTGTAGTTACTCACGTCTTGATTGGACATGTCCCAGTAGGGCCGCTCCCCGTAGGACATGACCTCCCACATGACGATGCCATAACTCCACACATCACTGGCGGAGGTGAATTTACGGTACTGGATGGCCTCTGGTGCCGTCCATCGGACAGGAATCTTCCCACCCTGTTGGGTAAAACACAGGTCAGTGGCTGAGGGACAAATCAATTCATGACATCCTGCATTTTCCCCTAAAACATCAGTTAGAGACTTTTCAACAGATCCAGAGACAAAACACACAAACCAATGAATCTACCCTCAGTCCTCAGTACAAACATAAATTCTATTAAAGGAAAATTCCGGTTTTTAACACTTTTAGCCCATTTTCTGTAGTGTCCAGGATGAAATCGAATGATCGACTCCAAAATTTTGACAATTGGTCCTGTCTCTGCTATTTGGCTCATGCAGAATCCCCCCTTCAGAATGGCTTCCATAGTGCATGTCCGATAATGTCCTTAAAACAACCTTAAACGTTCTTTTTTTAAAATATGCTACTCACCGGGTCGTCAGCGCTGTTCAATGACGGTCCAAAAAAAGTTTCGTAAAGAAAAAACGTTCCTGTAGTGTTTTATTTAGCATTTTGTAAATCCCATTGAGTTCTGTTGGAATAGTCAATATCCCTCCGCCACCGGAAACGGAAATGGGGCCTGTTTACGCAGTTGTAGTCTTTTCGCAAGGCCCAAGTGTTTATGCTTCACTCTGTGTACTCCGACGTCGAGGTGCTAACGTCTCTGTTAAACACTTTAAAAAACTCTGAAAATGGAATACGAAAGGTGGATTCTTCTCCTACACAGTGGTCCTACATTCCCAAAGTATAGAGACATTGTCGCCAACTAGTGGTCTGGAGTGTGCAACGCTTCAGATTCGAACGGGAAGCGGAAGTTTATAAGCGGTTGTGATGTATCGGAAAAAATAGTTCTGGGATTTACAAAATGCTAAATAAAACAAGACAGGAACGGTTTTTCTTCACGAAACTTTTTTTGGAACGTCATTGAACAGCGCTGACGACCCGGTGAGTAGCAGATTTTAAAAAAAGAACGTTTAAGGTTGTTTTAAGGACATTATCGGACATGCACTATGGAAGCCATTCTGAAGCAGCCAGGGGTGGATTCTAAATGAGCCAAATAGCCGAGACAGGACCAATTGTCAAAATTTTGGTGTCGATCATTCGATTTCATCCTGGACACTACAGAAAAGGGGCTAAAAGTGTTAAAAACCGGAATTTTCCTTTAACAATAAAAATGAGAACATAAATACGTTACAAATATATATATATATTGCAGAGCAACGTATAAATGTTTTTTTTTTTTTTTATAAAAGTTGATAAAGCTTATAGTTAGAGCGGCTCAGGTTATCCTGATCTTTCTCTATAGTTATGCTGCTATAGGCTTAGACTGCTGGAGGACATAGGGACCCCTGAGCCTGGTTCTGCTGGAGGTTTCTTCCTGTTAAAAGGGAGTTTTTCCTCTCCACTGTCGCTACAAGCATGCTTAGTGTGAGGGATTGCTGAAGAGTCAATGAGTCGATGCAATCAGCTGGTTTTCCTTTGATAGAAACCTTTGAATCAATCTGACTGGATGATCTGGTGAACTGGAAAGTGCCTTGAGATGACGTGTTGTGAATTGGTTCTATAGAGATAAACTGAATTGAATTAAAGTAAATTATTATCTGCTAAAGAAATGTGAGTTGCTACAGAAAAGAAGCAATGCCAAACAATGAGCTCTTTGATATGCTAGATGTTTGTATTAAAGGTCCCAATTAAAGCTGATTTTCTGTGAAGATTTTAGTCTTCCTCCAGAAAAAGATCATTTATTACACAACAATTGAATGCTCCATCTCATCTCCAAAACTGTCATTTATTCTAATTATTATTCTCATCCTCTAATTAGGAAATGATGGATTTTAGTCGCTTTGCTTAAAAAAATAAAGCCGGGGCTTAAATAATGAAAGGGAACTTTGTTCATGACAAATATGAGACCAAAAGAAGCTAAACAAAGAAAACAGAGAAAATGATGAATATTGTTGAATTCCTTTGTTGTATAAAAACACATAAATCCACAACAGAAAGGTGAGTCACTGAGAAACACTTTAGATCGTCTCAGTCTGCAACAACACACACTGAGCATCGGTGCCTTTCAAATCAACACTAAATTGGACATCTTACTGGTTTCTCTTTCAGTATATTTAGGAGAAACTTTAACTGGACTCGGATCATGGAGGCGCTTGTTTTCCAGCATGGTGTGCGGTTTTTCCCCCTCTTTTTTTTTTTATACAACATAGTGAATTCAGAGAAAAAAGTAGAACTTTTCTTCCTTTGGTGAAAATGTAATGAGTTAAAACAATTTATTTGACTAACTTTGTGAAGAAATGTTCAAACTTCTCAAATAAATCCATAATGTAATAATTAAGCTTCCGTTTTGACGTCAACATAAACAAACATTAGTCTGTGAAACTGATCTGCAGCATCTGAGCTCTTCATTCAAAGCATCAGGAGAAGATCAACGACTTCACACAATATGAGAATAAAAAGGTCTAAAGCTTATTTTTAGCAATTTATTGCCAGAGTGCGCTAAAGGAATAAAGTTTATTGAGAAAGTATTCACACCACTTGAGCTTTTTTTTATATTTTCCTTAAATACAAGAAAAATCTTTTAATTGCATTTTATTTTCTTTGCCAAAATAAAGTCCACCAGCGTGTGATTCAAACCAGCGGTTTGAACATCAGAGAAAACAAGCTAACAGAGTGGGAGGCGTTCATGCAGAGGTTGAAAGCAGGCTGAGTTTAGAGAATATTGATCACCTCACAGAGCTCCGTTCAGCCAGTCATCAGTGCAAAAAGGAGAGAGTGTAGCCCAGACTGGGCCATCCAGCTGACTGACAAACCAGGGAGTGAAAATGAACACAAGGAACCGCCTTACTGCTCCTCTACATCCCAGAACGCATGTAGGAGGCAGCAAAGCAGGTGGAAGAAGGTGACCTACATGCAAATCCCTGCATGTTCCTCCCTAGACGCAAAGCCTACTGTAACATGTGGTGATGTCAGCGTCACGCTTCAGGGATCCTCCTCCCCACATTCCCCCCGACCCTTCTGCTTTGTTTCTCGGTCTTTACACGGTTTGGAACAGGGCTGCAGGTGACCATTTGTTTACTAATTAATTCATTTGTTGTTGTTTTTTTCTTTGAATTGATAAATAACCAGACAGCAAACAGTGAAAGATTTCCATGGATTAGAAGCAGATGAAGGTAAAATGCTGATGGGATCGGTGGCCCAGTGGCTAGGGTATTGTGCTTGAATCCCAGAGGTTCTGAGTTAAAGCCCCACTCCCACCCACTCTGGGTCCCTGAGCAAGACCCTTAACCCCACAGTGCTCCCCTGGCGTCGCACAATGGCAGCCAACTGCTCCCCAAAGCTATCTCTATAGTTATGCTGCTATAGGCCTAGACTGCTGGAAGACATAAGGACCCCATTTTCTTCTTCAAAGCTTCATACTGTCTCTATTCTCCCCCTCTGCAGAATCCTAGTTCAATCTCGAACCTTCAACTCTCTCTGCTTTTTAGACTGTAGACTTTTTAGACAGATTTTATTGGTAATTTTGTTTACACAAGTGTAAAACAAAAAGAAATTTTCTCATAGTAGCTTCATCTGGTCTGTTCCTGTTTGGCTGTGACTCCATCCAAGAAAGAAATCTTAGCTGTGCTGCTGCCATCAACACCTTTGTTTATAGATGTTTGAGATTGGCCTGTTTTTCAATGTAGTCCTGTTTCTCTGACTGTGACTAACTGGATGTGCTCTCTTCATCCTCTGACATGGGAGCTGGCTCGGAGCTCGTCTGCCTGGCTGTGTGTTTCCTGGACGGGGCCGCCTTTTACAGTTGCTTTTTGTATCTATGCTTCTTTTTCTATGTCTGCTTTTGTCTCCTTGAACCCCAGTGGGCCTCAGCAGATGGCCGCTCACACTGAGCCTGGTTCTGCTGGAGGTTTCTTCCTGTTTAAAGGGAGTTTTTCCTCTCCACTGTCGCTACAAGCATGCTTAGTGTGAGGGATTGCTGAAGAGTCAATGAGTCGATGCAATCAACTGGTTTTCCTTAGATAGAAAACTTTGAATCAATCTGACTGGATGATCTGGTCAGCTCGGTGAGTTTTAAGATGACGTGTTTTGAATTAGCACTATATAAATAAACTGAATTGAATTATATTAAATTTCATTGCTTTTCACTTGTGACAACGTATTTAAGTTGAATCCTGATGCCCCTGAAGGGGTTTTGGATAGAGATAAGTTACATTTTACTCTTAGTAAAATTAAATGTTTTAGAATTTGAATGCCTTTCTTGATGTTTTATTAAATACTAAATGAATTAACAATAATTTCAACAATGAATTAATCGTGATTGATTTGCTTCATTGTTGGATGCACTAGATTCTTTAAAGGAAAATTCCGGTTTTTAACACTTTTAGCCCCTTTTCTGTAGTGTCCAGGATGAAATCGAATGATCGACACCAAAATTTTGACAATTGGTCCTGTCTCTGCTTTTTGGCTCATGCAGAATCCCCCCCTGGCTGCTTCAGAATGGCTTCCATAGTGCATGTCAGATAATGTCCTTAAAACAACCTTAAACGTTCTTTTTTTAAAATATGCTACTCACCGGGTCGTCAGCGCTGTTCAATGACGTTCCAAAAAAAGTTTTGTGAAGAAAAAACCGTTCCTGTCTTGTTTTATTTAGCATTTTGTAAATCCCAGAACTATTTTTTCCAATACATCACAGCCGCTTATAAACTTCCGCTTCCCGTTCGAATCTGAAGCGTTGCACACTCCAGACCACTAGTTGGCGACGGTATCCTCTACCGTCAAACTCAAAGTCCAATATGTCCTCCTCAAGAATCCACCTTTCGTATTCCATTTTCAGAGTTTTTTTAAGTGTTTAACAGAGACGTTAGCACCTCGACGTTGGAGTACACAGAGTGAAGCAGAAACACTTGGGCCTTGCGAAAAGACTACAACTGCGTAAACAGGCCCCATTTCCGTTTCCGGTGGCGGAGGGATATTGACTATTCCAACAGAACTCAATGGGATTTACAAAATGCTAAATAAAACACTACAGGAACGTTTTTTCTTTACGAAACTTTTTTTGGAACGTCATTGAACAGCGCTGACGACCCGGTGAGTAGCATATTTTAAAAAAAGAACGTTTAAGGTTGTTTTAAGGACATTATCGGACATGCACTATGGAAGCCATTCTGAAGGGGGGATTCTGCATGAGCCAAATAGCAGAGACAGGACCAATTGTCAAAATTTTGGTGTCGATCATTCGATTTCATCCTGGACACTACAGAAAAGGGGCTAAAAGTGTTAAAAAACGGAATTTTCCTTTAAAGTTCAAAGTGTATGAATACTTCTGTAAGGTGCAAATAATTTAGAGTTTTATGACAGAAAGTAAATATGAAATGAAACAAATGAAAACCCTTTGGGAGACTTTTTTAAGGAACGGTTCAGGGAGTTGGTTAGCAGAGGTTGAAAAGTGTCTTCCATTTGCCTTTCATGTTTTCATGTCTCGACATTTATGCTCATTGAATTACCAACATTTAAAAAACAGCATCCTAATTAAACATTTCCTGACTGCTAAACTAAACGAATGAAACGTAGAAGCAAAGCCTGTTGGTAGAGCTCCTAAATGAAAGTTGGCTTTACTGCCTGAGACTACCTGGACACGCTCATCTTATTCTGCTCCATTTTCATGCACCGGCAGCAACTTGATTAGAGAATTCAGACAAGGCTCTTGGTAGGAGAGAACAAGCTATTTAATTGACTCACAGTTGTTGTGTAGACAGCCTCGGGATCGTCCTCTATCACCCTTGACAGGCCGAAGTCTGAGACTTTACATACGAGATTGCTGTTGACGAGGATGTTCCGCGCAGCCAGGTCTCGGTGGACGTAGCCCATATCAGCCAGATATCTCATTCCTGCTGCAATGCCCCGCAGCATCCCCACCAACTGGATGACTGTGAACTGACCGTCGTGTTTCTGCATGGAAAAACACAGACAGGTCAGCCATCTTCACTGACCAGTGGGGGAGGGGGGGTATTTAGGTTGCAAGGCTGCACCAGCTTTAGTTAGAAGATTTATGATATTAATGCAGAGCACACAGACTCCCCGCTGCAGACTCCCTGCTCACTGGGACACCAGGAGAAGTGTAGAGAAAAGTTGGAAAAGATGCTGCAGCAACTTGGGAGGTGATACTAACCCTGAGGAAAGCATCTAATGAGCCGTTCTCCATGTACTCGATGACAATCATCACCGGTTTTCCTGAAAGGAAAGATGGAAAAAAGCACAAAACAAAGAGCAGATGATTAATGGATATCTAATTTGAATTTGGCTTTCTTAATACCTCACAAAACAATGGCTGAACCAGAACTGATTCCAAGTTATTTATAGTTATGTTTCATTTGCTTTTAATTAGAGGTTCCCATCTGTTCCTTTTATTAGTCTCTAAATGAGAAAATGTTTAAAAGAGAGCAGCTTATTTAACCAGATGTACACTCCTGATCAAAATATATGACTCAGCACTTCAATAAAAAAAACTACAACTTTTTTTTTTCTTATATCATGAAAAAACTACCTTTTATGAGCTTTTAACTGTGTTATAATGCTATTCCTTCATATGAATCCTGTGTAAAATGGTATTTAGCTGGTTTATGCATGTCAGAGTAATCCTCATGAATCCTCCTCCCCCTCCTGTGATGGTGATGTGACTCAGACCTCCAGCATTTCTACTGAAAGGTGACCGAGTGGATTCTTTGGCTAATGTTTAATGCAAAAGGCTCAATAAGATGCTGCCGCGGCTCTAGGTGTCTTTCTTCTAGATTGTAACATAACAGGTCATATTTAACTCTTAAAGGCACTATTTCATCATATAAATGCCTACAGTTGACTTTAGAAGGCTAAATTAACCAGGATATAGGAGCTTTAAAATAAAAAGCACCAAATAAGCAAAACTGTGGGTGTTAAAAAAGGACTCAATGTTTAGAAGGCCTTCTGTTCATCTTGATTCATGATTCTTTAACCCTTTATAGGGCAGGTTAGCGTCTTTGATCCCTTGAATACCCTTTACAGAAGGAGTCCACCCCTTCCTGAGTGAGGTCTAGAAGCACTAGATCTATATCCAGCCATTCAGCAAAGATCCTGCTACATGGCTGTTCATCTTATTTTGGCATTTGACCATTTAGATGAGCCCTAGAATGATAGATTAACTGCTGTAAAAGAAGTTGGAAAAAAAGGTTCAGTCAAGAAAAATGGTAAAAAGCTCATTGAAAAGTTAAAATGTTAATAAGCAGAGTTAACAACTCTTTTTAGGTTTATAAACTAAATAATGTAAGTGCCAGTATCAGCATGAATGCCTCTAAAGTTATGTTGGATCAAATAAACTTTGTCTCTTTCCCTCTCAGTGTGTTTTTCAAGAATTTATTAGAAGCACTTTTGTTATTTTTCCTAATATATTCGGGCAAGTGATGTTTCTTGTTATTAAATTGACATTCATTTTTGCCATCATAATATCTATATTTTTTTAATATTACAAAGGTAATAATGTCTTGTCCTGGATTCCAATAACACTATTCACTGCAAAACTTTTAAATTAAATAAGTGATTTTTTTCTTAAAATAAGTACATTTTTCTTGAAATTAGGAGGTAATGGAGACACTTTGCCAATGGAACAAAATTATTACTGTGCAAGTGCATGTTATCCAATTATCTCATTTTAAGAGTAAAAATACTCATTCCATTAGCAGATCATCTTATTTACCTACATATATTAAGGGTAAATAAACTTAATTGAACTAATTTTTACTTATTTCTAGATCATTTTTGCAGTGTTGGCTTCAAATGTTGATTACTTATTTGTAGTGTTTCACTGAGCGCCCTATAAAGAGTTAAATCTTAATATGGAGAGGTTTCCTGAAGCTGAGCGATGATGACTTTATTAGGGATCTGGATGTTTAGTTGTGGGAACCTTCTTTCCCATCTTCTGTATTTCCACTCGGTTTAGATCTTTAAAATATGCAGGAAGATCCCAAAGCGCTCCGTTCCTCCTTTATCAGATAGAACAGGCTTCTGTAGAAAGACGAGGACCCTCTGTTAGGAGGGGCGTCCCCCTCATTGCCAGATGGAGGCTGGAGGCCCATGCCGTTTAACCTGAAGCTCCTTTGGTGCTGAAAAAATGCTGAAATCCGTGGTGAGATCTCCTCGTCACATTTGAGGGCATCAGGACCAGGGATTTTTCTCTCAGTGAGTAAATAAAACATCTTCCACCCTTTAATCTCCCATATTCGGTGCTCCCATACACAAGCCCCAAATAAACAAGATTCTGGCCTTTGAAGAGCAGCTTTTTTTGAAGCGCTCTCTCATACATCTCTCATGGTTAGCGGTTGCCAGGCTGCACCAGTAAAGGCCTTAATTTGTGTCTTCACAAACAGTCCAACACAAACAACATTTTTTGAGGTCAAAAGAATTTGCTTTTTGTCCCGTTTTCCTCCAAGATCTTTAGGAAATGTTAAATATTTCTGCATCCTGCTGCTGCATCTTTACAATCCTGCCGTGTACACAGGAAGTCTGCTTCCCTCTACTATCAGGGGGGCACCACACTAAGACTCCTCTACAGGCAGAAAAGCCATATTAATGTGCAGATTTTGACATTTTAAGGCTGTGGCTTTTTCATCAGCTGGTGATCCAGTTTGGGTTTTAATGGAATCTTTAATCAGCTTCTCTTCTCTGTTTGTTTTCTGTCTACTTCTTGTTTACATGCATTTACAGCCTGATATTCACATAAATTTATAGGGAAGTCCCTGTTCTGACGTTGCATTTCCCAGCGGTGCACGACTTTACACGAGTGAATAAAGTGAATGTGATTGGTTGTTTATCAAGGGGGCGGGATTGTTGTGGCGGAAGGTTCATAAGCAAGTTTGATAGTGGCCGGTTTGTTGGAAGCATCTTGCTAACCAGTTAGCATCTTAGTGCTAGCACACTAGAAAAACGATCTAGAAATAAGTAAAAAAGTATTTACCCTTAATCTGAGTACTTAATTTAGATAGTTTGCCTATGGAATTAGTATTTTTACTCTTAAAATAAGATAATTAGATAATATTCACTTAAAATAAGACAATGCAGTTGTGTTTTCTTATTTTTTATGTAAATTATCTTGTTCCATTGGTAAAATGTCTCACTTTCCTCCTTAATTCAAGACTAAATGCATTTATTTTAAGAAAAAATTACTTATTTAGATTTTTGCAGCGTGTTTATACATATATTAACCTTTTTGCTTAATGAGCAATAAGACATAAAATTAACTGAGAAAAAATTAGGAAAAAAAAGTGGTATGTATCTGCAATAAAGCAACATCATATATAAACACACTGCAAAAATTGAAATCTAAAAAAGTCCTTTTTTTCTTAAAATAAATACATTTTGTCTTAAATTCTGGGAGGTAAGTCAGACTCTTTTCCAATGGAATAAGACAACTTACATTTAAAAAAAAAAAAGAAAAAAAATCTATTGTCTTTTTCAAGTGCATTTTATCTAATTATTTTATTCTAAGGCTAAACATTCTCATTCAATTGGCAAATATCTCATTTACCAGCTCTAATTAAGGGTAAACACACTTAATTTAAGAAATGTTTACGTATTGTTCCATTAGCAAAATGTCTCGTTTTCCTCCTCAATCCAAGAATAAATGCTTTGTACATACATCAACTAGTGATGCAACCTGGACACATCATCAGTGATGTTACCTGGTATCATAGAGTGTTTCGGGTCTTTCAGACATCATACACTCTCCTCCAGGCGACCCAGCCAGGGTTGATCAGACCCCAGCTTGTGTCCAGGTAGCGCTACCCTACCCACGGATCTCCTCTCCTGATCCACAACCACCGCGAGGCAACCTCTGCTGCCTCTGTGGCCTCCTTGATGGCCCTTCGCTTGCTGGCCCCTGTGATGCCCAGCATGCTGTACACCCTGCAGAGGGACTGGCCAGCAAACCCTCTGCATCCCACCTCAATGGGCTCGCACCTTGCTCGCCACCCATTGAGCCGACACTGCTCCACCAGATCGCTGTACTTAGCCCTCTTTCTCTCGTTGGCCTCCTCGATGCGGTCTTCCCAAGGGACCGTGAGCTCCAGAAGCACTACCTGCTTCGATGTTGCTGAGGTCAGCACCACGTCTGGCCTTAGTGATGTTGTGGCCACATTTTGTGGGAACTTCAGGTGTTTCCCCAAGTCTGCCATCAGCTCCCAGTCCTGTGCCATTGTGAGCAGGCCGGAGGAAGAGACCCTGGCAACAACTGGTGGTCCTTCTGCAGCTCTGATGGAGGAGATTTGCTGGGCGGAGGCGCTTGCAGTGGGCTATTCCACTGCAGATGGAGTTCGCTATGGCCTTCAAGACCTGGTCATGACGCCAGCGATAGCGCCCCTCACTCAGGCTCCTCGGACAGCAGCTCAAGATGTGCTCCAGGGTCCCTCTCTTCTGGCACAGGGCACATGCTGGTGACTCCACCTTCCCCCAACAGAACAGGTTAGACGGGCTTGGCAATACGTCATATACAGCCTGGATCAGGAATTTTATGCGCTGGGGCTCGGCTTTCCACAGCTCAGTCCACGTGACTTTGCGCTCTGCTGCTTGCTTCCATCGCGTCCAGGCTCCCTGCTGCCGCATTCCTAGCACCCTGCCGGACCGCTCTTCTTCCACTGCTGCCCGCACTTCTTCCTGGAGCAGCGTCCTCCTCCTCTTCTCCTTTGCCTTCCCGCAGCAAGGTGTTGTGCTGCTACCAAGGCCTGCTCTTCCCCGAGCCACTGTCCCCACCAGAGTCCTGTGCCGCAGCCGTGACTCCGCCACTTCCACAGCCTCTGCCGCCCTCCACTTCCTCCCCGTCCGGACCTCGATACCAGCCTGAGAGACTTTTGGGTCACATGACTCTCTGTATTGCAGCACCTCCCTAGTTCGGCTCACCTTGAATTCCTCATTCAGGCTGCTGAAGGGGAGCTTCAGCATGTTGTTCTTTCCGTATAGGGCAATGCTGCTCAGGCTCCGCGGTACACCCAGCCACTTGCACTTATTTTAAGAAAAAAATACTTATGTAGATATTTTTTTTCAGTGAACTTAATGGGAAAATAAATTATTCTTATTTCTTATTTGAATCATTGCGTATATTAGCTGCTATATATGAATCAAGATGCTATGACCGAAAAAAATGTGATTGACAGATGACCGTTGATATATGATTGGCTGAATTTAGGTGTTCAGGCTGACGTAGCACTAACTGGCCTGCAGAAGATAACGAAGAAAAAACAGATTTTAAGACAGGATTTATGTTAAATATAAATTTTCTAAATTTTGGGACAGTATCTATGTCTGATAAAGAGTATATTTATAGACATGTTTAAGCCAGAATGATTTGACATTAATATATGATTTCCCTATGACTTTAAATCCACCAAAATGTCCTTCCTACATTTTGTTCTGTGTTCACATGAAGGCTAAAGCAGCGATTCCCACCTCTGGTCACCACCCCCTCCAGGTGGACCACGTTGGGATGATCAAACTGTCCCATGATGCTGGCCTCGCACAGGAAATCCCGCCTCTGCTTCTCGGTGTAGCCCACTTTCAGCGTCTTTATGGCGACCGACACGTCCCGCTTCCCAGGCAGCTTCAGTCGACCGCTGCACACCTCCCCGAACTCTCCTGCGAGGGTTGAAATCAGTCACGAGTGTAGGTTTAAAAAGGAGAGAAAAACCTCATTCGCTTCACAATGACAAATTTATTAGTGTATTTTGAGATAAAGCAGCTGTGTAGTGCTGGAATACAAATTGCTGCACGACACCTTGTTCCACCCGGGGGAGTGTAACCAAGACCTATAATAAGACATGCTAGAGATGCATAGATACTGTCATTGACCGCCTCGCTAAAACCCATGTGGCAGCAATTTTTCACCTGCGGTTATCTCCGTGACTCCCTCTGCCAGATGCAGACCACACATTAATTGCAATGAACTTTTTTCCCCTCCTTGCAATTGCTCTATCAATATAAGATGCATGAAGCTGTGTCCCCTATTCAAGGTGTAAATATTTGCCTGTCAGCATGATGTATGAGAGAAGCTAAACAGGAGGAGCTGAGGATGGGCTCACCTGCTCCAATAACACGCTCGATTTTTATGCAGGAGGCATCCAACTCCTTGGCAAATTGATGGACAGCCCTGTTTGGGTCCTCGTAGGTTTCGGGGTCAATGTAGGTTTTGGTGCCTGGAAATTTAACTGTAGAAAGGTAAGAGGATTACTGTTATGATTAAATATGCACACTGCGCAGCGGCAGGCACTTGACAGGCAAACGATTACGGAGGCCGGGGATTCAGAGGGAGCAGCTGAACCATCAGCTGCTGGTGTCAAACGGACGTTACGCTCCTGAAACCTCTGCACTAAGTGGGAGGCAAAGATTGAGCTAACCTGTGGCTTTGGCTTCTTATCAGGCAGCCGGTTGCTGTTCAACCTCTGCAACATTCAAATACTTTAACATTCAGAGGATTGAGTGAGCGGGGAGGGCCATTTATTACAATCTCTCATATTCTAAGACTTAAAATAAGTTCTGAAATGTAATTTCCTCTGTTTACTTTGCTTCTCTTTAATGTTTCACAGAGCTGCAGTTTTCTGGTCTTTTTTTTCACTCTTAAAAGTTTCAGATCATCAACCCAAATTTATTAGACAAAGATAATCAGGGGCGGATTTAGGAAATTTGGGGTCCTAGGCAAAGACAGCCAGGGGGGCCATAAAAAAGATCCATTATACTTGTTAATAGAACATTATTTGTTCTAGGTTTTGTCCCTCTCTTCTTTCCAATTTTGTCTCCAAATTCTCCAGTAGCAGAATAAAGTCTCTAGATTTGGCGCTTTTTCAGAAATCAAAGTGCTACACTGCAAAAATGATCTAGAAATAAGTACAAATCACTTAAATTAAGTGTATTTACCCTTGATTTGAATAGCTAAATTTGATAATTTGCCAATGGAATTAGTATTTTTACCCTTAAAATAAGATAATTAGATAATATGCACTTGGAATAAGACAATGCAATTGTGTTTTCTTATTTTAAATCTAAATTGTCTTGTTCCATTGGAAAAATCTCTCTTTAATCTCCTCAATTTAAGAAGAAATGCACTTATTTTAAGAAAAAATGACTTATCTAGATTTTGATTTTTTTCAGTGTAGAGGGGTCTGAAAAGTGGCTAAATATAGCGACTAAAGCGCTAAGTTAGCAACACTGCTCTTTGCATCGCTTGTTTTTAAATAGTTTGCTGTCTGTTTGGACCTTTCTGAACATGTGCAGCAAATGGACTGATCCAATATGGTGGACACTGAAGGGGGGTGAAAAGGATTTTTATCAAAAACATAATTATTGTGCACAAATAAGGAATAAACTATACATGTAGGAGTTTCATGGAGCCCCCAGGAACTTGGCGCCCAGGGTAACTGCCTAGTATTGCCTAATGGTAAATCCGCCCCTGAAGATAATCTAAGTTAAGAGAAATTGTAGATTTTAAATGACCATTTCAGATAACAGAGCCACACAAAAAACCCAACCTGACGTTGTTTGAAAAAGGTTATTTCCCCTTAAGACACTAACTGGTTGTTCCAAACTGGTGTACATATAAAAAGCTTAGAATGAGTCTTTTTACATGACTTTTTCACAAAGATATTTAACTTTAGCAGCACATTTTTTGATGATAATCTCAATCAGATTTCAGTGCACAATTGTCAGGATCTGCTGCTGAGCTTAGTTGTTAGAGCAGTGCGCTTGTCCTCTGAGAAGGTTGCATCATCAGTTCATGATATATCTATAAAACTCTACTTTATATTCAATGCATTTATATTTTTGTAGCATATATTTAGTTGAATATAAAGATTTTTCTACTAAATCTGGAACATCAAAGTAAAAACAAAAAAAGGAACAGATGAAGGAGGCAAAAAGAGCATCCCTGCCCCATGCATCTGATTCCAGGAAAGGCTGCCCCAAGTTATGTTACAGATGCTCAGTATTCAATTATTAAAAAAAATAAAAACTCCACATGATGATCTGTTAAGCTGCACAGTTTAGCCAAAGTTTTTAACAACCTCTAAATGTTCAGCTAGCAGCTGCAGAGGAAAACTAACTGAATAGTTATAGTTAGTTTCACATTTTTAAATGTGACACATTTTTAGACACATTTTTAAATACAAATGAAGAAGTTAGGACAGAGCAGCAGTACGAATGAACTAATGATGCGTCCTTCCTTTTAAATACAGACTTCAAGGTTAGCCTTGGCTAGACCCCCCCCCCAATCTTAAGTAGGATTAAGAGAGGCAGTAAAATAGATGGGTGATTCTTCACAAAGTCACATATGACCCAATGACTTCTATGTGAGAAAAGGTATTATTCTAAAACACCAATGAATATGTTAAAGCAGGTATGGAGGCTTCCTGTCAGGATCCTTTATGTTAGAAGAAGAAGAATCCTGAGTATGAAGGACTTCCTGCTTCAATATCCCAGAGACATTTTCCATTGCAAACCTTATTGGTTGTTATTAAGCTAGAAAAATCAGACCTTCTTTCTTGTTCTCTATGTTAAAATAAAAAAAAATAAAGATTACACGCTCCAGAAGTGACAAGAAATCATATTTGAAATTTTGTTTCTTATGAATTAGGCTAAAAAAAAGGTTTCACAATAAAGTCATGCTGCAAAGAAAACAAGAGAATTACAATTTCATGTGTTATAAACTGCATTGGGGCTGATGTGCTTTAAATTCAGCATAGCCACCTGAAAGCCAATGAGTTTAACATTAAAGCACTTCTATAATAAAGTAAAGTGAGCTGAGAAATCTCCAAAAGAGCAGTCAGAGAGACGTGGAAGTTGAACGGTGGAAACTGACTAGTGTAAACACAACAAATCCATTGTGCTCCAGGGAGAGGACGCTGGCAGCTGAGATTTCCCTCCACTTGCTCCCATAATTGCTCCGTCCATCCAAGATGTCAGTGGATCTGATAGTACACGTCTTATCACAACTTCCTCACTCGTACATGGCAGACAAATTGGGTCTAGGCGTTGGATCTGGCTTCTGTCGCCCTGACAGCCACTCGTCACCCAGAACCGCTCGCCAGATGCTTCCGTTAAACGCCATCCACGCAAGCTTTGTTTCTGTTTTCTCACCTCTTTTTTTTTTTTTGGAAGCAGGTGGGACTTTGAAGATACTGAGCCACATTTGTCAGATACTTAACAGCGGCCAGCCTGGGCTTCAGCAGCATGGGCTTTACGCTTAGTGACACCCCTGACCCTCTGTTTCTAAATCAGCAGTTAGCCAACAGCGCGGATCATTATGGCTCCACTTGGAGAAGCTGTCTGCAACTGCATCTCCGGGGGCATCATTAGGGGTGGCGCATCAGTTAGAAAACTATGCGCAGACCACAAAACTCTGAGACTCTCTAAAAACCGGCAGACTTATATTTTTGAAGAACCTTCCTTCACATCCAGGCCAACCTTTCACTCCCTCACCGGCGGGTGACACACACTTGGGTTTGCGGCGTTCCGACTTCTTAATCTCCGGCACCGAGTCGAGCCAATCAGCAGCAGAAGCTAGCCTGATAGATCCTGGCTGTGCCTCAAATGAAACGAGCTGGGATAATAGCCATGCTGGGGGGTGCTAATGAGTTTTAATGCATTCTTCCTGCTTAGTCTGGAGCAGCATGTGTCTATGCAAACCAAACATACATTTGTGTATTTTGGGCAGACGAACAGAAGCACTCACACTGAAAGTAGAGCTCCTCATCCCCCTCCTGATCGGCTTTGCTGTACCCGCAGTGCCTGCGTAAGGGAGGGGGGGAGAAAAAGAGAATGGCAGAATCAACAGGGAGAAATTAATATCCTAAATTGCAAGAATTTTAATTCCTCAACTAATGCTTTGTAAGACAAATCTGTTAAGACACCCAGCTGAGCTGTAGGAGCAGCAAAGCCAACAGCCTGGCTCAGGCAAAGGAGCTCAGCTTGTTAATAATGTCACATATCACACAGCACATGGACTGGAAACGACGCTTTAGCAGATCCTCTATTGCTTTCTGAAAGGTACTGAAAGTCCGCACCCAAGCTCATGTTTTATTGCATCAAAATAAAAAAATATATGAAGCATCCAGGCCAAAGAAACCATGACCCCCTGAAAGACTTCACTGATGTTTCTACCGTCTGGTGCAACGCTGGAAAAAATCGAAATCTTGTTTTCATTTTTTTTTCTTGAAGTAAATACATTTGGAACAAGACAATTTACATGAGAAAAAAATAAGAAAAGACATTTGTATTGTGCTATTTCAACACTAGAAAAACTATCTAGAAATAAGTAAAAATGTCTTAAATTAAGCATATTTACACTTAATCTGAGTAGGTAAATTAGATAGTTTGCAAATGGAATGAGTATTTTTACTCTTAAAATAAGATAATTAGATAACATGTACTTAAAATAAGACAATTGTTTTTTCATATTTCAAATGTAAAATTGTCTTGTTCCATTGGCACTTTTCTCCTCATTTCAAGGAAAAAAACTCATTTTAAGAAAAAAATGACTTATTTACATTTAATTGTTTTGCAATTTAGTGCATTTTACCTAATTATCTTATTGTAAGAATAAAAATACTCATTTACCGACTCAATTTAAGGATTAATACACTTAATTGAAGAAATGTTGACTTATTTCTAGATGGTTTTTACACCGAGTCAGGTTGGGGAGCACACTGGAAGAACTATCAAGAAATATGATAAAGTGTTATAGTGTGATGGAAATTTGGGTTTATGCGTACAAATATTGGGACCCTGTTTCGGTCTCAGGATAAAAACATTTGTACGAGTAATTTTTATCCTTAATTTGAGCAGGTGAATAAGATGGTTTGCCAATGGAATCAGTGTTTTTACTCTTAAAGTAAGATAATTAGATAATATGCACCTCAAATAAGACAATAACAATGTTTTTTCTTATTTTAAGTGTAAATTGTCTTGTTCCATTGGCAAAATGTCTCCCTTGCTTCCTCAATAAAAGAAAAAATGCACTTATTTAGATTTCAACTTTTTGCAATGTGGTGTTTGACAATAAAAACACTGCCATTAAGCTGAAAACAAGGCTGAGGTTACATTTGGCCTGGTTGACACTTCAGGAAGTGGGTAACCTTACAGAATGACACAGATTCACATGAGTTCACACTCGCTTCAAAGACTTACAGTCTAAATCTAAGTCTTTGAACACAGCAAAAAATGGAAATTTGTATGAGTTATTTTTGCTAAAATTGAGTGAATTTTGTCTTGAATTGAAGAGATAAGTGAGACACCTTGCCAATGGAACAAGACAATTTACATTTAAAATAAGAAAAAAACAATTGCTTTGTCTTATTTCAAGTGAATATTATCTAATTGTCTTATTTTAGGAGTAGAAATACTCATTCCATTGGCAAATCGTCTTATTTACCTACTAAAATTAAGGGTAAATGCACTTATTTTAAGAAATTTTGTACTTATTTGTAGATGGTTTTTGCAGTGAAGCCCATGTGAACTTACATAAACAGACATTGTCCTAAAATTAAGCTTGATTTGTTTATGCATTAAAAACATATAAGCAGTATAAATAAAATATATTAAAAAATATCAACCATAGACTCAACCTATTCTCATTATGAGTGCGTGTGAAATTGTACGAAAAGTTATGCACCGTAATTTCGTACGTTTTGGACGTTTTTTTCGTCGTATGCGCATCTGACGCACCATTCATGAATATAGAATATAAATTACATTTAGCCCTGACCCTAACCCTAGGATATAAAACAGCAAGCAACGTAGTTAGAGACATGAAGAAGTGATGATTGCACTGTTTTTCCCATTTTTACGTCCGTTCGCGGATCTGCTTTTTTTTTCTGTCTGCCAGCGCATGCGCACTGATGTGTTTTGTTGAGGAAAAACGTCCAAAAACGTACGAAATAGTGTGCATAACTTTTCGTACGATTTCATACGCACTGATAATGAGAATATGTTGATAGACTTGGCTGTTGGAATGTCTCAAATCTGATTGATGTATCAGGATGTACCAACATCAAAAACCAACTTAAATCCTACCTACACTGGAAAAACGGTCTATAAGTAAGTAAAATGTCTGCAATGAAGTGTATTTACCCTTAATGTTAGCAGGTAAATAAGGTAGTTTGCCAATGAAATGAGTATTTTTACTCTTAAAATCAGATAATTAGAGAATATGCACTGAAAATAAAACAATGCCATTGTGTTTTCTTATTTTAAATGTGAATTCTCTTGTTCCAATTTCAAAAATGTCTCTTTTATCTCCTCTATTTATGAATAAATGCAGTTATTTTAAGAACAAATGACATATCTAGATTTAGTTTTTTTCCAGTGTAATAGTCAGTCGGTAGGTTTTAAGTCTGGAGTCCCTGAGAAAGACCGAATCCACACAACAAACCTGTGTTGTCAATGTGACCTAATATCCTACCGTCTAAGGTAGGATAAATCTGAAATTCATATTTAGATAATGCTTTTTATGTTTTTAGGATCATTTGTTGTGCTTTACTTGAAGCTTTACATTCAAATAAAGTAAAGAGCTGCGAAAATACATCAAGGAGGATTGTGTGAATTCATAATGACAAGCAGGTTTGGCTGGAATTCTATTCACGCAGAGGGATAATGACAATGGACTGAGTGGTTTGTGATGATGGAAAAAAATCAGCAGCATACTTCATCATGCCCTCTCCGTGTCACACGCTCTCATGCAGGAATGCAGGGCCAAAGCTCTCTCTGTGGAATGCTCGTCTTATAATGGCTCCACAAAAAAACAGCTTCAGAATCTGGTTGGAGGTCGGTGGGCGGTGGTGGGAGTGGAAAATGGTGCATCACAAGCCATTAGCGCGGCATGCCACGAGATGACGCGTGCACATGTGTGCGTGTGCCAAGGCTCCACAGTGGTGGAGGCTTGTGAGTGACAGAAAGGCTAATTGACAAGCGCAGACTCACAGGAGCGGAGAGTCAATGGGGCCCGCGAGAGCGTACCTTCTCCCGATGATGAAGCCGAACACCATGAACACCAGGATGATGGTCCCCGCCACGGCCACCACGGCTATGATGATGACGGGGTTCTGCTCGCTGGAGACAATCGCAGCTGATGAGAAACAAACACAAACAGCGGAGAGAGAAAGACAGAGAGGCTCAGTTTGAACCTCAAAACACTGAAAACTGCAGGACAGACAGTAATTAAGTCCCAATGAACAGCATGGAGATTGATAACCACCACATCACACCCCACTTTCTCCCCCTGAGACTAAACTGGAATAGGGGCTTTTCTATTTTAGTCGTCCTTATACACACGGCTCTACTGTTTCAGAAAGTGGGCTTAATAGTCCCAGACGGCGACGGCGATGCCCTTCATCTCAAACAAAGGCGTATTCAGGTTGAATTGTTTCCTATTCAGAACTCTCATAGCTCTCAGACTGTTTTCACTGACAAACTGCTGATAGCTCCACGGAACAGCTGGAAGCGGCTTCATATACAGTCCATGGAAGCCACGTATGAGGGGGGAAGTGCATGCATTTTAAATCAAGTGTATCTGAAGGAAAAATAGTGACGGAGAGAAGCATGCCAATATTTCATCAGCTGTTCGTATGTGGAAGCAGAAGGGGGGGGGCTCCACTGTTGAATTGGACACCTGAGGGTTTCCATCTTCAGGCTGTCACACTGAAGGCTGCAGCTTTGAGAGCTGCTCACGGATGCTTTCGTCGGATTGCAAGCTCCGACTCACGCTGCTCTGCAGGATTCTTTTATTAATGCACAAAGATTTCTGATGTTCTTTAAAGTCAATGTTCATGAACTGAAATATGGCTGTGATACATTGAAGACTTTGTGTTTGCTGGTAGTGAAGGGCTGATGATACTAACACAAGGTGCCCATGATATATCCAGGGGGGATTTACCATTAGGCAATACTAGGCAGTTGCCTCGGGTCCAAGTTCCTGGGGGGCCCATAAAACTCTCTTTACATGTATGGTTAATACAACTATTCCTTATTTGCGCACATTAATTATGTTTTTCTCTAAAATGCCATCAGAATGCTTATAATATCAAGTGTGTCTCAGCCCCCCCTTCAGTGTCCACCATATTGGATCAGTCCATTTGCTGCACAAACAGACAGCAGCAAACCATTTGAAAACAAACCATGCAAAGAGCAGTGTTGCTAACTTAGCGCTTTAGTCGCTATATTTAGCCACTTTTCAGACCCCTCTAGAACTTTGATTTCTAAAAAGCTCCTAGCGCCAAATCTAGAGACTTTTTTCTGCTACTGGAGACTTTGGAGACAACATCTAAAAGCAGCGAACTCTGCTCTCCAGAGCGAGTAGATTGGTAACCCCGCCTCCTGCTCTCCTCTATCTTGTCTGCTGTCATGATTCATGCAGCTATTATTTCATCCAAATGAAAAATGGAGAACAGATAAGCAGATCATGGCTTGTCTACAGTGAAAAGAAGGACTGGGTTATTTACTTTGGCCTTTTTGGAAACACAGGAAGGAGCAATCAGCTAAGTGAGCTTAGTGCTTGGAAAAAATCTTTCATTCCTTTAGAGACAGCATGAAAAGTCAGCTGAGTACAAAACATAGAGAGGAAAACAAGAAGAAAAGGGACAAGAAGAGAGGGACAAAACCTAGAGGGCCCCTGCCTGTCTTTGCCCAGGGCCCCACATTTGCTAAATCCGCCCCTGGATGTATGAAGTTGTTTTTCAGATTCAGAGCAAAAACTCTGAAGTGTTTTTTTTTTTCTTCCTTCCTTTCCCGCTGGCTGGGCTTGCTTTTAAAGATATTTTTCAATAAAAATACTATCTTACTAAAACTAGTTTCCATTTGTGGTTAATTATGTATTTTTGAATTGAATGAAATAAATTCTTTTAGAAAAAGATCATAAAACTGAAAATGTTCTCATGTGCCTCTTATGTATCTGAAGCTGTTTCAGGAAGATATATGTGAGCTAATCTTCAACATGACAACATAACATGTTTATTACTCTACTGACAAAGCAAAAGAGTGTTTTTGTTATTAAAAATAATAAAAATGTTTGTTTTGGCTTTTTTCCAAAGTGAGCAGCTATGATCACGATCATATTTCACATTTAGCGTCTGTTTATTTCTCTTGGTATTGGAGTATTTATTAAAAAAGATGATAAAATTTCCTGAAATTTTAATTTATTTGTGTTTTCTTTTCTTGCCATTTTATTTAAAAGACATCTTATTTTCATCAGTTGTCCTTCTGCCCATGTTAAGTCATTCTGGTGTATTTCCTGAGCTGCAGACCCATTACAGTAACAATAACATCTATGGAGGTGGCACTGAGACAGTGGATTAGTCTTAGTGCCGCTGGCTTCACCTCAACCATAAACTGGACTGGAGTAACAGCAAGGATGCTCTTTGCAGGAAGGATGGAGGAAAACTCTACCTGCTGAGAAGATGGAGACCTTTTGTGGGGTGCAGGAGGTGTCTCTGATGGCAACCGCCATCTTTAATGAGGAATTGCTACAAAGTCAATGGCTGGGCTTCCTTGGATAAGAAACTTCACCAAGCTGTCTTTATATTCTAGTTGAATCATCTCTTTAAAGTGCCTTAAGATGTGCTGCTGTTTACACAAAGTGAATTAAGTGGGGTACAGCAGTTTGCTGGAGCAGCAGTTGTTCCACTGCTGAGAGGAAGATGATGGATAAGCTCATAAGGAGGCCTGCTTGACCAAGTGCAGCAACAGAAGAATTCATTAAAGGGCTTTGGAGAAACTATCCTCGCTGTTGAACACCATCTTCAGCCCAATGCATGCAGCTGTTAATGATAGAAAGCTCCTCCAGTAAAAGATTGCTGCACCTTAGGTGAACTAAGGAGCGTCATCACAGATCCTTTCTCCCAGCAGCTGTTTTTTTTTTTTTTACGGCACTAGTGGCTCTTTTTTTCGACAGTAGGCTGACAGGAAACGGGGTATGTGAGAAGGGGAGAGACATACGGCAAAGGACCGCAGGTCGGATTCAAACGCTGAGGACTATTTATACTCAGAAATCAGGTCGTCTGCTGGTGTGTCGCAGTGAATGCAAATGTGCCCCCTCCGCAGACGTGCTGCTGCACCTCTCCCAAACTGTAGGTGACCGCAGGCCTCTGATTGGTCAAATCTACATCCGCACTACTCTACTCTATTTCCTGTTTGGTACCGGTTTGTTTTGTTTGTATGACCGCCATTGTGGAAAACAACTCGTGAAGATGGACCAGAAGAGTGAGGTGCACGAGAATGCTGGGACCCTTTTTCCACCTGGATCCCCGCTCTTTTTGGCCCTCATGTCCCTCCGTTTGTGCAAAACGGACGGGTCTAGATACCGCCTAGGACATATCTAGACCCACAGCTAGTTCGTGATTGTTCCTCTTGAGTTAAGGCCTCTGTACATGGGTGGTGCGCGCTAACCACTGCTCCACCTGCACGCCCCCAGAAGCGGTTTTCGTTTAATGGTGTTTTATTTCATCTTAGAGAATCATGAACTTATTTTCTGTTGTTTTTTACATATACCTTGATCCTCAATTTGTTGAACAAATTTGAAATTGTCCTTTTCAGGAGTGCATTTCATTTAATCCACAGATGACATTTCAGAAAACTGTAAAGGACTTTTTATTCTATTACCCTTTCCTTATTTGCAGCAGTATCTCCTGAATTTCCTCCCTGCGGTGCAATAAAGGCTTATTGTATCTTCAGTTTAAATTGAACACAATTAGATCATAAATGTGTTATTTTGGGAGTTTTAAAGGACACTGAGAAACAATTGTTGTTATCTCAAAGTCTAATAACCTGGCAAATACTCCAAGGATTCCTCAAGGACCTACATTAGTAGCACAAGACTTGACTGGGGCATATATAATGTTAATTATCATGTAGGATGAGAACCTTTTGTTTATGGAAGCAAAATGCTGGTGGGAGATTTAAAAAAAATTCAACCTCATAAGTATTTATTTATTAAAGATTTCATTATGCCAGACATTTCGATCCCCAACACAAACACCTCTGAGGATCATCCAATAACACGCAGGGCAAAGCTAATGTAACTGATTAGATTTAAATGACTATATCCTCCTGACACTACAGGAGCTTGTCCTTGTGCTTAGTGATTTTCCTGCAGCATGTTGTCAGCATAAAGTCAAAGCAATTTCTGTTTGCTTGGCTTCAAAGGAAATTATTTCCCTGGGTTATTATACCACAAGTTGTGTGCATCTGGATGAGATGGAAATCCTGCATTCCTTACAGATTCCCTAATAAAGCGTTTGCCTCCAGAACCGAACCTTCATCTGTGATCAAAGCGGAGACATATGTTCAACAGAAATGAGACTGAAAATGTTTCAACCCGCAAACAGGGATACGGTGATGCAACCCCTTGAACCATGCTCCACTGCTCATCAACAGCTCAGCTGTAGAGGTGGTCAGCAGCACCAAATTCATCACAGACACCCTCACCTGGACTGGAAACACCACATTACTGGTTTAAATGGCCCAGAAGAGCTTGGACTTCCTGCGGAGGATGAGGAGAGCCTGCCTGCCCCCCCATCCTCCCCACCTTCTACAGAAGCACAATAGAGAGCGTTCTGAGCAGCTGTCTCACTGTGTGGTGTGGAGGCTGCAGCGCCTCAGACTGGAAGAAAGTGAGAACAGCAGAGAGGATCATGGGGGCTCCTCTGCCCTCCATTAATCTCCAGTCAGCCTCAGCAGATGGCCGCTCACACTGAGCCTGGTTCTGCTGGAGGTTTCTTCCCGTTAAAAGGGAGTTTTCCTCTCCACTGTCGCTACAAGCATGCTCAGTGTGAGGGATTGCTGAAGAGTCAATTACCCCATTTACACTACCCTTGAAAAACCGATCCATGCAGAGATCGGTCCGAGCTCGGGTCAGTTAACCAGGCCGAGCTCGGTTCTGAAGACCGTTTAAACATCGCTCTATCTCGGTTCCTCGACTCCTTGCCTCCTAGTGACGATCTGCGGTATTACTGCCAGTATTGAAGGAGGGAATCAAGCAGTTGGTGGTGGTAATGCACCAAAAGTTGTTTGCCAACCGCTATAAAACACAAGAAGAAGAAGAAGAAGAAGGAGGGAATCAAGCAAATCAAAATGTTGCGTGGAGAAGATTTCGATTGTTGTTTATAGTTGTTCTTCTTCTGTTTTTTGTTGCTTGGCAAACAAATTCTGGAGGGGCATTACCGCCAACTACTGGAATGGAGTGTGAATCGGGATGTGCTGCCAGACGGAGATGATGCGTTCTGCTCATGAGCTCCTGTTATCAGAGAACCGAGCCAGGGAAAAACTGAGCAGAGCCCACCTCTGGAACTGGTCTGTAGTTAGCGTGGTCCGGTTGTGTCTAGCTCGGTTCAGTTCAGTTTGCTTTCACAGCACAGTTACTGAGTTACTGAGCTCGGACCGGTCTCAGCACGTTTTTTTAAGGGAAGTGTAAATGGGGTACATGAGTCGATGCAATCAACTGGTTTTCCATAGATAGAAAACTTTGAATCAATCTGACTGGATGATCTGGTGAACTGGAAAGTGCCTTGAGACGACGTGTTGTGAATTGGCGCTATAGAAATAAACTGAATTTAATTAAATTAAAGACATTTCATCCCAGTGCTGCATGTCCCGAGCCGTGACATCATCAATGACCCCTCACACCCCTGCCACGGACTGTTCTCCCTGCTGCCCTCTGGGAAGAGGCTTCCCAACATTGGATGCAGGTCCAGCAGATTCTGAAACAGCTTTTTCCCCACCGCCATTAGACTGTTGAATGTTGTATAAAATGTTTGTTTTTTTTAAGTGCTAAATTTTGGAAAAACTGTAAATCATATACCAGTCTTATGTTTACATTTGATCACTGCTGCACGTTAGACATGGAAATGTCTTGAGAGCTGTACTGAATAAAATTTTGTTTTGTATACACTGCGTGTGAAGAAAATGACAATAAAAGCAGTCAAAGTCTAAGTCTAAATCTGAAACAAGCCTTTGTATTGTTTCAATAGCGAATGAGGATAGAAAGTATGACATATGCTAATAAACCATACTATTGGCGCCATCTTTTCTGGTGGTTATCTCCAGTCTGGGTCCAAAGGTTCCGTATCCCGCCTCTGTGATGGCCCTAATCTGGAACACATAAGCCGTGTCCGGTTTCAGGTTGTTGACGGTAACAGAGGTAGACTTGGACCTCACTGTGGAGGAGATCGAGTCCTTCTGATCCTGAAAAACACAAACACATCGATTCATAAACTTTGTACCCGTTAAAATTTAGAAGGTATATCAGGTTTTAAAAAGTAATCTTTTCTTTGAACAACAGAAGATGAATCAAGATAATGGGTGTAATTATCTGCACTTTGCAACTATTTAAGATGACAACAATCAGAATTCTCATATTAATATTCAAATGAGACAGACAATTATATTGCAGGATTTAGTGTAATGCACATTTCCACAGCATTAATTCCATGGGAGACACGCCACTTTACCCGCTTGACTACTCAGTCTTTTTTAAAAGCAATTAAAACTTTTGTTTTCCCATTCCAGCTCCTTCTACTTTTCATCTTCTCTGATTTTCTTTTCACTTGCTGCTTAGCAATTGCCAATTAAGTTTGCTACAGTTACTTAAAACCAGCTGCTTTCACAGTCCACCTTAAAAGGCTTGCTGAAGCTCAAATGAGTTAAACACCCAGCAGAAAAATGGTCCACCTGTTTGATAAAAAGGGAAACCTAGAGGAAATGTTCTTAGCACCTTCCCAGTGTCACTATTGTTTATTTATGGCAAAAAAATATATTATTTTAAGTTGGAGATTAGTTTGACATCAGAAAACACCCTTTTTCTGTTAGATTAGGTGTGCCCCATGGCTTTGTCCTCAGACCTGTCCTGTTTTTCATCATCTATCATCTTCCTCCTGGCAATATAACCGAGAAATTAAATCCAGGTCTGCTGCTTTGCAGATCACATTCTGTTATACCATATCTAATTTAACACTTCTTCCCAATTCCTAAACCCCCTTCATTGAAAAATAAAAAAAAATCCAGACCGGATATTGTTTGTTTTCTGTCCACACCCCCCTGTTCCGTCCCCCCATCAGGTTAATAGCTCTGGTGTCATTTCAAACAGCTCATTATGTCCTCAAGCTCACGTCATTTATATCATTACTGCTGCATATTTTCAGTGACGCAGCATAAACAGCGGCACATAAATATCTTAATATCTAAATATTGTTTTCCACAAAAGCTAATAATGATCCAACTATCTGTTCATGAATCGTTCTCCCTTCACAAACTGTTTTTCATAATCAAATAATTGGCATTCAGTTAGTTTGAAATATATAAACAGGGATTTTATTTTTCAGCATATATAAAGGAAAATGTGTGAATGATTATTGTTGGAGGGAAGGTAACACATTCATGTAGTACTATTCTAATTCACTATAAAACAGTACAGTTCACAGTTTCTGGATGGTTTTTGAAAACCTACGCTGCAAAAATGATCAAGAAAAAAGTAAAAATGTGTTACATTAAGTGCGTGTATCCTTAATCTGAGTAGGTAAATAAGATGATTGCCAATTGAATGAATATTTCACTTTTAAATAAGATAATTAGATAATATTCACTTCAAATAAGACAATGCAATTATCTTTTCTTATTTTAAATGTAAATTGTCTTGTTCCATTGGAGAAGTGTCTCACTTACCTCCTAAATTCAGGAAAAAATGCACTTATTTAAAGCAAGAATTATTGATTTTTAGATCATTTTTCCAGTGTATCAACTAGATACCTAAGATCTAACATTTAATAATACATTTACAGATGTAAAATGTACTCTGGTACATTTTGAGTAGAATATTTTTTTTTGCTCTCTGAAGAACTAACGTACTGCAAAATAATTAACTGAAAATGCTTTTAATATAAGTGCATTTGCATTGGATTTCATTATGAAAGTAAGATGATATGAATTTTATGGAAGAGGATTAGGGCCAGTGAAAAAAAAAAAAAAAAGTTAACAGATTTTTACATTTGATTTCAGTTTAGTATGGGAAAAAAGTCAGACTTATGAGAAAAAAGTCAGAATTCTGACTTTAATCTCAGAATTTTGACTTTTTTCTCATAATTCTGAGATTAAAGTCAGAATTCTGACTTTAATCTCAGAATTCTGACAGTATTCTGACAATAAAAAAAGTCAGAATTCCCATGTTAAACTGAAATAAAATTTAAAAATCAGTTAACTTTTTTTTTTCAGTGGCCCTAATCCTCTTCTGTAGAATTTGGTTCTTACAAAAAAAAAAAAAAAAAAAGCAACAATTTTTTTTTTTTTTTACTGCAGTTATGTAAGGATTTATTCTTATGGGCTAAAATGCTCATCGCTCACTAGAAAAACAATCTAGAAATAAGTAAAAATTTTAGGGATGCACGATATAATCGGCCCCCTATCGGTATCAGCCTGTATCGGCCTTAAAACTGAATATCGGACATCGGCCACCCCACCGATATTTAACCCGATATTTGATCAGCTTCTGAGTTTCTAAAGTCTAAAAAAAAAAAGTACTTCTTCCTCAAAAACTTCTTTTTTACAGACTTAAAAACTTCTAAAGACGAGGGAAAAAATATTGATCCATGGAAATATCCCAATATCTTCATATGCTGATATATTGCCATTTAAAAACACCATGTCAATCTCTTTTACTAATGAAATATTGCTATATGTCAACGTTATGCTACGAAATCCCCCGAAAATTAACAAAATTTTGCCATATTTTTATATGTTGATATATTGACGCGGTATAGATCTATTTTACTAACAAAATCTCACAAGAATTTGCAAAATATCACGAGAGTTTGTAACAGAACGATGAAATTTCACGAGATTTTGAAAGTAAAATAGATCGATACCGCGTTTTTAAAAATCTATTTGATATCAGCAAATGAAAATATATTTGAGTATATTATTTTTTAAAGTGTCAGAAATGGATAACAAAACCCCTATTTTCAATGACTACTTATTTTTGTCCAGCTTTAACATCGGTATCGATATCGGTTATCGGCTACATGAGTTTTAAAATATCGGCATATCGGATATCGGCCAAAATCCCAATATCGGGCATCCCTAAAAAATTTCTTAAATTAAGTGTATTTACGTTTAATCTGAGCAGGTAAATGAGATAGTTTGCCAATGGAATGAGTATTTCTACTCTAAAAATAAGATAATTAGATAACATGCACTTGCAATAAGACAATGCACTTGGGTTTTCTTATTTTAAATGTCTTGTTCTATTGGCAAAATGTCTCTTTTACCTCCTCAATCCAAGAACAAATTCACTTACAGATTTTGATTTTTTTCCAGTGCTTTTATGCTCAAATTAATGGAAGACACATCAAGTTATTTTTAGGTCCATTCAGCTCAGCGTGGCGATAATGGAATTTATTCCAAACAGATAAACTGTACGCCATTGACAAACAATCCACCCAAACCACAAATATTTATACGCCAGCACAATAACACAATGTCCTTTCTGTGTCTTTCCTTCTTAGCAGGCCTTATGAATCCCTCAGCAGGTTAATTTCTGACTGAACTCTTCCTCCACAACATCCGGTCCTCCTTACAGACGTAAATAAGTTGGATCAAATTCCTCTGTCCAAGCTGCACGTATGGCGTACTTTGTTGTTGAGTTCTGAGCGTCTCTGCCCAGAAAAAAAAAAGCCCAAATGGAATGCCACGGTCTGTTAGGGGTGTTGTCGTTGTTTCCAATTTTCTACTTTTACAGTTGGGCAGAGCTCGACCACAGTACGTGACACGGGAGACTGATTCGTCAGAGAGTGTGAGAGCCTGTGTCCGGCAGGACTGGCATCACAGCTCTGCTTCCCTGCCTTTGATTTGCTGGGTGAAATTCGCTCCATTAAACCTGGTTGTAAAAAGCTGATGTGTTCAGACTTGAAACACAGGCAGGCAGAGCTATAATCTATGTGGAAGGTAAAGCGGCATAGCAGTGACAGACTGCTAATTCTGGCCCTGCTGCAGCCGAGGACGCAGCGTGTGTGGGTGGATGTGCTAATGCATGCATGGAGGTATTTGAGGAGGACAACAGCCTGATTAAAATCATATCTCAGTCATTACTGCAATTATAAGACAAAGACGACACTTGCATGGAGACTAAATCCAAAGTGATGAGAAAAGTTGATGTGGAGCAGAGATAAGGAGGACAGAACCAAACTAAACGGCTTTTCAGAAAGAGAAAAGCACATTCCAGTGTGCTGCACACTCACTTTTTCATAGTACTTGATTTGATACTCCGTGATGACGCCGTTGGGTTGCTGCGGCTCCTGCCAGGAGAGCTGGACGCTGCGCTGCTGCACCTTCTCCTTGATGACCTCGCTGACCTGCGACGGAGCTGTTTAGAGAGGAACATGTCAATAAGTGGAGAGCAAACCCCCTCAGCACACTCACAAACACACACATCGGCCTTTTATCAACACTCAGCGGCCTGCAGAGAGCTCATGAATATTCAGGGTCGATTCCTCCAAAATGTTTACACCCCTGTGGTCCACATTTCAATTACAGAGCAAACCTTAGTCCAGCCGGCGGGAAAGTGAGACATTTAAATCATGAATGACAAATCACAGTGGAAAAAATCCAAATCTAGAGAAGTCATTTTTACTTAAAATAAGAGCATTTGTTCTTGGATTGAGGAGGTAAACGAGACATTTTGCCAATAAAAAGAGACAATTGACTTTTATAACAAGAAAACAAAATTGTATTGACTTATTTCAAGTGCATATTATCTAATTATCTTATTTTAAAAGTAAAAATAATAGGTCATTCCTGGAACTTTGTGACCCTATCTTACTACAACAGCTCTTTGCAGCGTCTTCCTTTACTCTGACATTTCGATTAGCAAAAAATTTCTAAAATTAAGTGTATTTACCATTAATTTGAGTAGGTTAATAACATAATTTGCCAATAGAATTAGTATTTTTACTCGTACTGCGACACACACCCGTACTAAAATAATATAATTAGATAATATTCACTTGAAATAAGACAGGGCAATTGTTTTTTCTTTTTTTAAATGTAAATTGTCTCGTTCCATTGGCAAAGTGTCTCACTTTTACCTCCTCAATCCAAGACTTCTTGCAAGACAAAATAACTTAGTTAGATATAATTTTTTTGCAGTGTTGTTGTACACTGGAAAAACGACCTAGAAATAAGTAAAAATTTCTTAAATTAAGTGTATTTACCCTTAATCTGAGCAGGTAAATGACATAGTTTGCCAATGAAATGAGAATTTTTACTCTTAAAATAGGATAATTAGATAATATACACTTGAAATAAGACAATGCAATTGTGTTTTCTTATTTTAAATGCAAATTGTCTTGTTCCATTGGGAAAATATTTCTCTTACCTCCTCAATTCAAGAACAAATGCAGCTATTTTAAGAAAAAATGACTTATCTAGATTTTGTTTTTTTCCAGTGTAGTTTTTGTTTGAAGAACATAAATAAACTTAAAAGCAGACGGAGCTAAAACCTACATTCTGCCACAGCATCCAAATCTTCTCTATCTACCTCAGAAGCTTCTACAGTTTCAGCCTGCAGCACATCTCCTAATGTTGATTCCTCTATGATCTGCCCTATGAGACCATCTAACATGGCTTCTACACTACTTTTTGATGCATCTTCCTCTCTAAAACATTTGGGTTATTCTTATGTTTTCCAATAAGATAAAACTCTTTTTGTGGGAAATAGTGCCATCCTTTTCCTGTAGTCGGCACAGATTGTCTTAGTGAACAAAAGGCAGTTCAGCTTCGAGAGATTCTCTTCTTTAAGCTGCAAAAGTCACCTATTCTAGCACTGAGCCGTTCATAAATCACATATATCCTCCCCTGCCTTTACAGCGCATCATTAGCATCGTTAGCCTGCTAATAATTATCATCAATTTACAACACTTTCATTAAGTATCCGGAGGGGGGGGGCACCTTTTAGATTATTAAACATTAACCCGAGGAGCAGCAAAACTCTACTTATTATGAGTTTTAATTCCAATTTGCTAAGAAATTACATTTAATATAAAATAATGTGTCATTGAGGCATAAGGCTACTGTAGGTATTAGATGTTTATTCATTTATTTATTTGCTGAGTTTTTTAACAGTCAACTAACTGTCAAAGGAGGAAAATAGACCAGGAACAGGTATCTAACAGTACATTGAGCTGAAATGTTATGTTACCCTAATTTGAATGAGGATATTTTAGAAAAATTCCAAGGAAACCTTAGAAGTCTCTGTTTTTTAAATGTAAAGTAATACAACCTGACAAATAATGCAGCTTATTAAATAAATCTGCATTCAGTGTGTCAGCATCACTGAATATACCTGTCTGAAAACTGAGACTAGGTTTTAAATCGGGGTAGAACATACATCAGTGCATCAGCCAGCTTCTATCTTTGCTACAATTTAGTCGTTTTAGCAGCAAAAATTGGGGATAGTTGTGTGTCTTAATTATTAGGGTTAAAAAAAATCTATATCAGAAGATCTTTAGTTTCAATTCAGTTTATTTCTATAGCGCCAATTCACAACACATGTCATCTCAAGGCACTTTCCAGTTCAACCAGACCATCCAGTCAGATTGATTCAAAGTTTATTGAAAACCAGTTGATTGCATCGACTCATTGACTCTTCAGCAATCCCTCACACTAAGCATGCTTGTAGCGACAGCGGAGAGGAAAAACTCCCTTTTAACAGGAAGAAACCCTATGTCCCTATGTCCTCCAGCATTCTAAGCCTATAGCAGCATAACTATAGAGATGTATAGAGACAGTGGAGAGGAAAATCCCTTCAAATAATTTTTAGTTTTTTCTTGCTTTGGTTTAATAGGTCTTTTTTTGAAGATTTTAAAACACAGATTGTTTAAGGAAATTAAGTAATTTTGGGACAAAAAGGATGCTTATTGGGGACGTCCCGCTTCCCTCTATGCCTCACAGAGTTAAAAGCTGCTCCAGTCTTTGTTCTGGCCACATTTTCCTTTTTTAAACGTAGTTTCTAATATATGTTTTTTTAATATTAAAGGGATAGTTCGGTATTTTTGACATGAATCTGTATGGCATCCCGATCACCAGCGGCATGCAATCACACTGACTTACCCCTGGCAGCGTCCTGTGAGCAGAGTTATCGTCCAGTTTTGGTCAAGCCGAAAGTAGTCCTGCAGGTTTTTAGGAACAGCGAAATAAAACTTTTCTCTTCCCAAAACATTATGTGCCGCGGAGGGAGACATGGCTGTTGTTGGGCTCGCTGTCTGAATGACGGCGCGCACTGATACGAACAGAGAGAAAATAGGACCAATTGATAACGACGTGTGACTTTTTCCACTACAATGTTTTTGGGATGCGAAAATATCACTCTTTTGGACACATAATGTTTTGGGAAGAGAAAAGTTTTATTTCGCTGGGTCTAGCAAACCTGCAGGACTACTTTCGGCTTGACCAAAACTGGACGATAACTCTGCTCACAGGACGCTGCCAGGGGTAAGTCAGTGTGATTGCATGCCGCTGGTGATCGGGATGCCATACAGATTCATGTCAAAAATACCGAACTATCCCTTTAATGAAGGAAATATAGAAACAGGAAAACTCAGTTAATATGAGCAACATACGATTATTGTAAATAAAGTTCTTTCCCTTTAAAATCTCAGAACTGCCAAAATGACGGCCTCAGTAGTTCTAGTGTTAAGCTTGAATACTCAGATATTGTGCCATGCTAGCATCATGTAATCTTCATCTAAGTCCTGAAATCTTTCAGTCTAAAGATGAGTGTATCATTAGAGCGGACAAGAGGGCCTCCCTCTTCCTCAACAAGCAAATGTGCTGAGAGGCAGTGTCATGTTCAGTGATCCAGTGGGAGTGGCCCTCTGGAGCCTTAATACAGCCTGACCTCAGATTGTTCTAAGATGACCTGCTACTAATGACTCCGGCTGGATTAAAACCTCATTAGGCCTCATCGGCATTCCTGACAGTAATGGCAGCGACAGCGAACACCCAGGACCTTGGAAAAAAAAAAAAAAACTGCTGTTGTGACATGTCCCCTCATAATCCACTCAAAACACAAGAACAATGTGTCCTTTCTCCACGCAGTTAGCTGGTCACAGTGACGATTAAGTTTTCCCTCCCCAGACACAACAAGCCTTTAGTTCAGCTTGACTTCATCTCATTTGGCTGCCACCGCCCACCACTGTCCCCCTAACTGTTTACCAGCCTTACTCTGCTGTGTCTTTAGAAGGACAGGAATCCTTTACATAGATATTCTGCAAAATGATCTCAAAATGAGTAAAAATGTCTTAAATTAGGGGTATTTACCCTTAATTTGAGCAGGTAAATAAGATGACTTGCCAATGAAATTAGTATTTGTACTATTAAAATAAGGTATCTAGATAAAATGCACTTGAAATAAGACAATGCAATTGTTTTTTTCTTATTTTAAGTGTAAATTGTCTTGTTCCATTGGCAAAGTTTCTCACTTAAATCCTTAATTCAAGAAAAATTGCACTTATTTTAAGAAGAAATGACTTATTTAAATTTCATCTTTTGCAGTGTACACTTTTCCACCATTTTCTACACATATATGCAACAGTGAACTAAAAAAAAGTTGGTTATTGTCAAACCCACAAAACCCTCGGCTCCAACTGGAGGTGATTATGTAGAGTTTCTTGGTAAATATGTAAAAATAAAAGCCTAAAAAGGAGCTTGGAGCTTAAAAAAGACCACTTTTATGGTGGCTTACAAAGAACTTCCTATTAAATTATGACACCCTAATGATTTTATATTCTAATCCATGTTTTCCACTTTGTTTTTAGCCCATTTCACGGTAAACTTTAACATTTGTGGTATTTATAATAAAAATAGCATGTGAGCAGAGGTATAATATGGTGCATGCTGAAAGTGTGTAAAAAGGAGGTAATTGGCTGAGCAGAAGTGGGAAAAAAACATCCCAGATCAAGTAAAAAAAAATTTCTGATTGCAAAGCGGTATAAGATACAAGCAACTCTTAGGATGCAATATGAGCACTACTGTTTCCTGAAGCGACACTGAAGGCTGTCCAGGCTGCAAAGCTGATGGATGAGTAAATAAATGCTGCCAGCAGATGGCGACGGCGTACACAGGGTTTATGCCCTACTAAAATAATTTGAATGCCATCATTTGCATTTTCCCATTCTCTAGCTTTTTCTCTGCCTTGAGCTTCTTTTCCGAACACACGGCTTTACGATCAACTGGAAGCAGTTCCGCACAAACGCCGAACCAGTTAAATCTGATGTATCTGATAAAATTGTTTTAAGAAATGTTTTTAAATGCAACAATAATCACATTTAATGGATTTTAATGCCAATTAAGGCCTTAATCTAGTTT